ATTATAAAGAAATGGAAAGATTGTTTGAGTGTGGGTTTGCTGAAAAGGTCATTGAAGAATCGAGTGACAATCGAATTTATTATTTGCCTCATTTCGGAGTTCGCAATGTAAATAAGCCCGGTAGAGTTCGTTTAGTTTTCGATGCGGCTTCGAAATCCGAATCTGTCAGTTTCAATGACCTTTTATTACCTGGCCCGGACTATTTAAAATCTTTACCAGGAATTTTAATGCGGTTTCGTCAATACAAAATTGCAGTCAAATCGGACATAAAAGACATGTTTATGAAAATCAAAATTATTGATTCGGATCGCGACGCGCAGAGATTTTTATGGAGAGGTTCGGATCGTACAAATGAGCCGACAATTTGTAGAATGCGAGTATTATTATTCGGAGCCAAATCGTCACCTAGCACAGCTTTGTATATTAAAAATAAGAATGCGATGACTTTTCAATCTCAATTTCCTATAGCTTCACAAAAATTAATTGAAAATTGTTACATGGACGATTATTTAGATAGCTTTGAGTCTAGTCAAGAAGCGAATGACATAGTAAAACAAGTGATCAAAATCAATGAAAAGTCAGACTTTAAAATGCACAGTTGGTCAAGTAATTGTCGTTTGGCTCTTGTTGATATTCATTCGTCAGCTCAATCAAAAGAGATTATAAATAGTTTAAACCTGGATGAGAGTGTAGAAAAGGTGTTAGGTTTGAAATGGCTTAATAGCTCAGACTGTTTAACCTTTAATTTTAACAGCAAGAAAATTTCACCTGAAATTTTGCAAGGAGTTCAAAGTCCGACTAAGAGACAGTTTCTAGGTATCATTATGTCTATTTATGACCCTTTAGGATTTTTGTTACCTTTTTTGATTCAATCAAGATTTTTAATGCAGAAAATATGGAAAAGTAAAATACATTGGGACGATTTGATTTCGAATGACGAATTTATCGTGTGGAAAAAATGGCTTCTCGAGTTAAAAAATATTGAGTCAGTTAAAATTAATCGTTGTTATCAGTTGCGAGACTTTCAAAAAAAAGATGCCGAGCTACACGTATTTTGCGATGCAAGCTCAAATGCTTGCGCAGCTGTCTGTTACTGGCGCTTTCATATAGGCGAGGAAAGGTTTCACGTAGCTTTTGTGATGGCGAAAAGTCGTGCTATAGCTCTTAGCGACAAAAGTACGATTCCTAGATTAGAATTACAAGCCGCCCTGATTGGAGTGAGATTAGCTGAATTTGTCGTACGCGAACATGATTTTTTTGTTAAAAAGCGATACTTTTGGTCAGATTCTACAACTGTTTTGAGTTGGATTCGAAAGAATCCATTAGAATTCAAAAGTTTTGTCGCGAATCGTGTTGGTGAAATTCGTAAGAAAACAAATCCGGATGAGTGGCATTGGGTAAGCTCAAGTCAAAATGCAGCTGACGACGGTACGCGTTTTAGGCCGGAGGCTTTGCAAAATAAAAGCCGCTGGTTATCAGGTCCACCCTTTCTATTTGATTCGGAAATTGACTTAAACAATAAATTAGATTTGAGTATCACCGAAAAGACAGTCGAGACGGAAAAAGAATTTATTACTAGAGAAGAATTTATTTTATTGACTAATCATTTCTCTCCATTAATTGATTTTAATCGATTCTCGACGTTTTTACGTTTGACGCTCACTTTAGCAAAAGCTCTTGAGATTCTTGATATTTGGATGAAAAGAAATATAAACTTATTCGAAACTCGGACTGAACGTTTTGAAAGAGCAAAGACATTAGTGTTGATTCAAAGTCAAGTTATTTCCTTTCAGGCTGAAATTGCCTCGTTAAAATATTCGGGTACGGTTCGTAAAAATAGTAAAATTACAAATTTATCTCCTTACGTCGATGAAAATGGTTTACTGCGATCGGACAGTAGAATCCAAAATAAAATCAATCAGGAGTTTCGAAAAGATCCGATAATACTCGATGGCGATGAAAGACTTTCGAGATTAATCATTCAACATTATCACGAAGAATTTTTTCACATGCATCACGAAGCGGTTATCAATGAAATTCGTCAGCTGTATTTCATTATTGGTTTACGTCGCGTTTTTAGAAGTATCGTTGCGCATTGTCCGACGTGTCGACAATTAAGAGCAAAACCATATCAACCACGAATGTGTGCTCTACCCGATGCTAGGCTGGCTTATCGAATGAGGCCTTTCAGTCATTGCGGTCTCGATTACTTTGGACCTATTTGGGTAAAAATAGGACGAAGAAAAGAGAAACGGTGGGGAGCGATATTTACCTGCATGACGGTTCGGGCAATACACATCGAATTGGTCGATAATTTGAGCGCGGATTCTGCGATCATGGCTTTACGTAGATTTTCGGCATTGAGAGGTTTCCCGGTGTATATTTATTCTGATAATGGAACATGTTTCGTTGGAGCTAATAGAGAATTGTTAGAGGCGATCGAATCAATTGACTATGCAAAATTGTTTCAATTTACGTCAAAAAATAATATAGTTTGGAAGTTTAATCCACCTACAGCCTCCAACATGGGAGGGGCGTGGGAGAGACTTATCAGGTCGGTGAAGTGTGCGTTAGCGGCTACTATTAGACATAGGCATCCAAAAGAAGAAACCTTACGTACCATTTTAGCGGAAATTGAACATAGTGTAAATTCTAGGCCATTAACGCACGTTTCAGCCGACCCTCATGATTTGGAAGCTCTCACCCCAAATCATTTCCTGATTGGATCCTCTTCAGGACAATTATGTTTACCACGATATACTTATAAAAATTTAGACTTAAAGAAAGAATGGAAAAAAGCTCAAATGTACGCGGATGAATTCTGGAATCGATGGTTACGCGAATATCTTCCAACATTACATTCTAGAAAGAAATGGCAAAAGGACCAACCTCAATTAAAAATAAACGATTTAGTTATAATTACCGATGAAAATGTACCAAGAAACTGTTGGAAAAAGGGAATTGTAATTCGTGTTTTACCAGGCGCCGATAATAGAGTAAGAGTTGTTGAACTAAGAACGGAAAACGGAGTGTTAACAAGACCTAGTAATAAATTAGTTAAGTACGCATGAATAGATCATGCGGGATCACTTGTCTGAGAATTGACTGTAAAACCTCACTCAAAAGAGAAAGGTATTCTTTGAATTTGTGTCAAGGCCGCGTCGCGAAAGAATTGCTTTCGTGGGCGCAGAATCTTTGCCAATGAATTTTGATTCAGTAAAAGGCAAAGCTACGGGGTAGTTAAGCGCAGAGGCTTGTCTACGGACGGTTGGCTGGACAAATTCGGGTTTAATTTTCTTGAGAGTTGGTAAGAGTAATAGATATGAAATAAGACGCAATTGTAAATTATATAATTTGTTTTATTTATGATTGATGTTTACTATTAAAGTTTAAGAATACAAAATATAAAATTTTGTAGGTGAGGAGGATGTTACCGATAGGATAAAGAAGTTTGCGATTTACCGACAGGCTAATATAAGTTTTGATTTTTCGAAGAGCGAGCAATTGTTCTTTAGTCATAGTGATGAATTGTTTTTGTAGTCATAGCGATGAAATTGTTACCTTTTTTTTTTTTTTTTTTTTTTTTCTGGACAAACGACACACGAGCTTGCGCTCGCCCTTTTTTTTGCTATTGGCTTTTTTTTTTCGCGTCGAGAGCGGTCGCTTGTGACTTTTGCTCTAATAAACGCTTAAAAATAAAACGAAAACTGTCTGAAGTTTTATTCCTTTTAAGAATTAAAAAAGCTTGGTCGAAAACAAAGATCATGGTTATTAAATTCATCAACCGCTGAAAAAAGCGCTATTTTTGTAATTACTTTGTGAACTTCTTTATAAAAATGTTACAATAATCGTTTTCCAATACTCATCTATGACGTATAATTGTAAGTTTGAACAAATAATATTTTTTATAAATATTACAAGCATGAAAAATTGGTTTATTGATCATATTTTAACCAATTTTGATTAATAAATTACAACCACTATTATACAAAAATTTGAAAAAGTAGAACAAAACTACAAATTGAGCTGCCGACGAGACAAAATCACAGACTAAGTTTAGCTGTAGTGTTTGATCACGTGACTCCCGGTAGTGGAAAGTGAAAGTAGAATGGGCGCGACTGTCGCCGAAAAATTTAAGATGATGACGTATAAAAATTACATCGAATCTTCAGAATTTTTACGAATTTTCTTTATAAATTTGCAATGTTATAAAAATTATGAATTCGTCATCGTAAAATTTACGTAAATTTCGTCGTAAAAATTAACTGCACCGGTTGCCATGTCCGTGCATTACCCTTCTGTCACCATAATTTGTCTGGCGAACTCATTCTCCGTGTACATATAATTATGAATTACTAATTGGAGGGCATTGTCATTAAGTAGCAAATACTCTAAAATGATTGCACGCTTAAAGAATGTACATTAATTATACATTTATGCTATTGATACAGTATTAAAGTCAATAACAGTCCGAATAAATAGCAGTATATGAATCGAAATAAAAAAATATTGTACTAATTAAATTAACTAATATAACTATAGTTTTCTTTCGTTTTGCACTAATAAATTCATTCAATATATATTGTCCCATACTAATTATTTCGGTAAACAGAACGTAAAAAACGATCGTCAACTACTCCCAAAAGTAAAATACTTATATATATATTTGTACGATTAATTTCAACGCTAAAACAGCGCTATTTTACATGAAATGAAGAAAACCAAAAATTACGCACAAAGAGCACATGTACAATTTGAGCGCAGTTGCGTGAGTTGGTTAACTAGCTCAATGAACCAGATAACATAGTAACCGACGAAAAGCCTCGTAAAAAGATTAAGTGACGTAAATTTTCACGGTCTTACCGCTATTCATACATTCTTTGATAATAAGCAGAAGTTATTAAAAACTCTGTCTCGTATTGCACTCACTTCCACATATTTTTTATAAATTAGTTAATTATAAGATAGATAAAAAATAACTTTCACGCGTGATCTTTCAGTTTGATCCATCGAGACACGAGACCAGAGCCAGCGATACGTTGTTCGACGCTCAAGGGAGCAACGCGACTCCCAAAGGCACCGGACCACCGTAGTGAAGCGCGACTAAGGATCGACCCTAAAGTCCTGGTCTTCGTCGAGACTTTGTACTCCAGGCTTGGCCGCGAAATCGCTGAGCTACTCGTCTACAACCGGATCAAGTGAGTATTAGAGCTTCTGCATTAATTATATTGCTTCGGAAGATCCTGCATTGCTGCTCCCTTGTTTAATTTGAACATTTCACGTATTTCTAGCAAACAATGAGTTGTAGGAAATTTCATTGGTATACTATAAGTAGATCAAGTCTACATGTTGTCAGACGCGCTATTGATCAACATTATTGGATAGACTGCTTCAATATTTGATGAAGTTTTACGATTAGGCGACGTTTTTATGCGTTGAAAGAATTTTCTGTTTGTCAGAAATTTTCTTTAGAGCTGTCGACAGTTTTATCTTCAAATCTCGAGATATCAATGTTAATTATACTTCTTTACTTTGGAAATTGATATCTCATCTTGCATTGAATTTCTTATTGTCATATTTAATAATACTTACAATTAAATCTAACTTTCATGAAGTCCATCAATTTATCCTTAACAAACGTCATTTTTGTCCTTTATGACAATCCTTAATGACTATTTATAATATATCTTCTATGTCAAAAATATTTTTTTACGATAATTATGAAATCACGATATCAAAACTTATTTTAGATCACAATTATCATTCGATATGAAGTTAATTTGTAAAGTGTGGTTAGTCCGCGATAGAGAAATTTGTATAATTTAGCCTAAAATGTAGAAAATGAAAAGTGTGAATCGCTCATTCATTAATCTGTAACTCACAATTTTTCCAAATTTTTATCCGAGGATTATGTATCTATTACAATGAATGAAAAGCTTATGCAAATCAAATTTTTAACCATATTGATTTTGAAGCGGAATAAAATGTACTTTACTTACACGTTCACATTATAAAGCATCGTAGTTATTTTACCGTTAACGTTTCTGTGTGGATGAGGTTTTCAAAGTGTTGAGTTTGTCTATTTTTTTTTAAATTATAATAAATTAAGTTTGTTATTTACACGAAAGTACAGTGGTGATATCAACTAGGATTACGAATTGTTGTAATTTTTATATTTATGAACATTGTTAAAAAGAATGAAAAATTAGTGTATTTTAATTTGAATTTTTCATTAGACAAATTTCTTTGCTACCAAAAAATATTGTTTAAAAGCTTTTCTTGTTTCAAGTATACAAAACATATAAAACAGTTGCAAATGTTAACAAAACCTTGATAATATTTTTAGATCTTGATATTTCATAATTTGTAAAGATTAAACCCTTTTTATTAATTAAAAATTTCATTGATAATAGGATATAAACATCAAAAAAGTTATTCAATGAATTTTTTATTGATTTTAATTTATATTTATATTACACATGTTAAATTACACCACTAAAGATTAAGATCAAAATGCCTTAATAAACCAATGAAATAATTTTCAGTGAAGAGTTAATATAAATTAAAAGGTTTACATTCTTCAAACGCTGAAAACACAAAATTGACAAATCTCACACGATCTTCTTTAAAATAAAATAATGATAATAAGTTTAAAAACATTTGAAAAAAATAAAATGACAAAGAATAAAAACAATTACTTTTTATACGCAGGATCTGTGTACTATACGAATGAACATTTAACAAGTTAAAGTTAAATTTGTATTTAAACTGAGTAAAAATAATGACTTGTACGGCAACATTTCCTTGATTTGATCGTTTAAAATGTCCAAGATAAATTTTGAAGCTATATTAAAAAATTAAATCACTGAATATTTTTTCCATAAAATAAAAAAGCCCTTTTTATAAGTAAGAAATAGAAATATAAAAAAGAATCACATTTTGTTAAATAAAATCGTTTGCTATGAGGAAAATTTCAGAATAAAGCTAATCATGTTAAATAAACTTACATTCAAAGACTTATTGATAAAAGGTACAGCGATTTAGATTAAAAAATAAAATTAATCGTGAATCATTTTTTTACATGAAGTATAAAGTATTTTTTAGGTCTGCGTGGGCAGATTGCCGCAAAGTTTGAGAAGCAAAAAATGCTAACCTATGTGCGTATTGACAAGGAGCTGGTACTCTTATAGGGTCACTTAAGTGAAAGTACATATGACACAATTTATAAGTCATCATTTGAATCTTATCTGGGGAAAGTCTGGAACTATCTTCAATTACATTGTACGCTGTTGGAGTAACAGTTCCTTCTACGACATTTTGTGATATAATGAAAAAATCATATTTTAACGGATCCGTGATTACGTCATCTACTATGGTACCAGATTTTGGATTTCCATTGTTTGAAAAGAATCTAGTATGAATACGCTTAGTAACAATAATAAAAGCAAGCTCATATCTACCATTTTTATAAATGCTAGCTAGCTTATTTTTAATTGCCTTTACTTCATGGTCATAGACAAATGGTATCTGACCTTCTCCAACACCATCACGGTAGATAATTATCTTAGATGGTAGTTTATTACCATTTCTTCTGGCAAATTCGCGAAATGCTTGCACAAGTTGTATAGACAAGTCGTTGGAAAGTTCTTCACCCGAATTGTGTTGGCTGACTGTAGAAAAATAATTGCCAAAGTGTTCGTCCACAGAAGCAACCATAGCACCTGCAAACAAAAGTTATTAGTTGAAAATAATGTACACTTGAAATTACGGCTCATATACAACTAATTATAATCGATCTATCGAATTAATAATAATAAAAAAATTTTAACTATACTAGAAATTTTCATTATTTAATTGAAATTAAAATATATCGGCTATAAAGTTTAAAAAATTGTTCAGCCTTGGCTTAGCCGTATTTGGTTTTTTTAACAGCTGACAATCAATTAGTAAATATGGTATCGTACGACGCCGTTACTCTACTGTTCTATCTGCAATCTTACGCCTCGCCTGGTAAGCCAAAATACAGCCGACGATGCTTGATCGCCGGCTGCATTGACCGCCATTTTAGCGGAGAAATTCCTCACGAATACCGCACCAATTTACCAATTGAATGTCCTATACACGGAAAATGTCGAATATTGTCACGTACGCTGAAAAAATATTATATAGATTGTCTTACTTACCAAAAGATGCGTGTGCTCTTTTATCATGACAGACGTCATATCCAACAACCATCAGTCCCGGTATCAAATCCCAAAGACGAATCGTCCACGGTATTCCACCTACCTTACAATTTAATTGCGTAGCGATCCTACATCCAATTGAACGTAGATTCTGTACAGTTAACGTTTTAGCAAGAACTATTTGACTTGGTATTGGTCTGTCAATGCACAATATCTTTTTAATCATGGAGTATCTCAATGCTTGGTTATTTGGGACTACGCAAAGAATAAGTTGAGGTTTTGCTTTGCTTGTCAATTTTAATATTTCATTTTGGTATGTCTCATTTCTATCATTTGGAATAATTATTATTTTTGGCATGGCCATACGAATACCAACTTGAGTTGCAGCTTGAAGAACGACAGCAAGGAAACCCTGTAAATAAATGTTAAGAAATACCATTAGTAATTTTTTGAGTAATTACTTCAATTACGTCAATTTTCCGTAACAAGTGATTATTATTATGAATTAGTAGCTATTATTAATGTTACGCACGTAACGGCTTATACAAGATGGTTAAAGAAGAAGCAAAGTTCAAATTCATTTTTAAAATTATTTTTAAATATATGCTTTGTTTAAATCAATAATACAAAAGAACTATTTCCGTAGTATACCCTTTCAAATGATCCAACCCCCATTAAAATCAATTAAACCATTTCAAAGATATATGCGAATATATATTTTATTTAAATCGAGCCAATACAGAACCTCCTTCTTTCTGAAGCTATTATCAAACTTCTGTGGAACAATCGCTAACCAATCGTCCAGCTTTCCAGTCCTGAAGTGTCGATCATTGCTAAGAGCGTTATTCCAATTTTTATCTGTTAATACGGCTTTATTGGAAAATTGAACTCTCTCTCGTGGCAAAAGACGTCCTTGGAACTGTACAAGTGTTTTGTCTATATTAAAATTCCATTCTTTAAAGTCTTGGATAACTTCAGGTTTAGTTTGTAAACGACGGTTGAATTCCATTAATTTATTTATTCTAGCAGACGGACCAAGTTTAGTGTACTGTGATAGTGCTTTTGTCAGACGCTGTTGTCTGATCATATTGTCCGTCAAACCTAAAAACCGTAATTTGATTATGATATTTATTTCTATCGGTAACACAATTATGTACAAAAGCAATCATCTAAAATACCGGTGATTCGGCACAATTCAGGTATCAAAAATACTATTTCGTCTTTGCCAGCTCTTCTATCACGCATTTTAGACTTTGACACTAAAAGAGGTTGGTTCATATCCTTTATCTGAATTTGATACTTTTCAGTGTAATAAGCAGCATATGAAATCTCACTACCATCTTTGCGTTTAAAACATCGTGATGGATTTGTCTCAAAATCGACATCATCCACTTTGTAAGTACGGTTATTATAAACCGTAAGTATAACGCATCCTAATACTTCATTTTTAAATTTTTTCTGCAAAGATGTGTATTCATCAATAAGAATGACTGAATTATTGATATGAAATTGTTTTTAATTATACTCTTCAATTTTATCATTACTACAGGTATTATCAAAACAATTTATTCACCTGATAGTTTGTTTTATCCTCCTGGTAATGATCTTTCAAGATATCCAAAAGTGTTTGAGTGCGCATTACTTTGTGAGAAATTTCAGCACACAATAAGACACTCTGTTCGTGTTGTCTTATAGATGTTATATATCCAGGCCAAAGCTCCACCTTAAATTCTGGAAGTTGTACCTGTTAAACACACATTCATTATAACATTTTGATTAATTATCAACCAGCAATCTATTTGTGTTTACTTACTTTATTCTTAGCATCAAAGTAATTCCTGCCAACCAACTGTAATTTTAAGTTCTCATCCAAAGTTTTTCTAACTAGCATACTAGAAATCTGGGAATAATGATAATCACCTTTGACCAAATCTCCAACAAAGCGAATTTGAATATTTATAGCAGCTTTATCTTGGGGTCTTATTGAATTCAACTCCAGTGGCTGAAATGATAGAACAGACGTGATTTGACTATAAAAATGATATTTTACAGTTTAATGTAATTTCCATGTATACGTAATTAGATAAGCTATCAAAAATGGATACGTATAGATATTTTTCAGTAAGTATGAAAAGCACACTCCAAAGAAAAATTAGCTATATATATAACAATGTACATATGTCAATGTCACCGTTATACATGGGAATATGCCATTCGTCAAGTCTCTTGTTGATATAGGTAAATTATGAAATCTTAATAAACATTTTTATTGAATCGATATTTGTGATGAACAAAACAATAATTAAAAAAAGTTTTTCAGAAATAGTCTGAAACTCAATATAAAAAATTTGAAATTAGAAGAAAACACGATAGATTGAAATAATAATCGACTTTTATACGTGTAATGGTATACCTGCGGAAGTGGGTTGCTAGTATACAAAACAGTTCCATCAAAAATATATCCACCTAAAGCAGATTTATGTGTCTTCAATAAAGCTTTGCGATCACTAGTTCGCTCTAGTTCAGGTGCAATGTCTACTCTGTATTGGTAGATACACCAATCAGGTTGGCTACTGAGCTTGAAATAATTGGCCTGAAGTTGTACTCGTTCACCGACAGTGCCTGAAATATTTTGTTATATTATGCAAATTATTGTCAAGGTTTATTGTTTTCAACTTGTAGCCACAATATAGAAATACGTGTCATAAATATCTTACCTTTCTTGCTATTTAAAGTTTGGGGACGTGTTTGAATTTCATTAATAGGCGGTGGTTTACTAGACCTATGTGACGGTTTAGCAGCAGCCATAATCTCTTTCCTAGAAGAAAAAAATTGCTCAATAAAAGTATATTATTCGCAGATGACAATCAATTATAAATAAATCGTTTGAAAAGACAATCGAAAGCTGGTATTTTGAAAAAAAATTGAAAATATACTATTTGATATAAAGATTATCTATAAAACAATTTAATTCAGGTATTTTCGAAATTTTTGTATAACCATTGAAAAAATTCGTACAAAACGAAAATCGGTAAACAGTCGAACTCTACAATGTAAACTTCAAAGCGAATAATAAAGATGTCGTTAAACGTAAGGCAACTTGAAGAAAAACAAAATTATATTTACAAATGACCAAATATGTAAATATTTATTTAAACTTCGATAGAATATTTTGAAGGCCAAGATTTTCAAAGAAAGAACCTTGTTGACTCAGAACATGCATTCAACATCAAATTTATTACCGAGAAATCAGACAAATCTTTGATGGATAACACGAAGATTAAACATAACAACCATATGTTTCTAAAAATATTAATTTCTACGTCTTGAAAGAAACGGTTTTTAAGAGATATGAAGCAAATTAGAATTGTTGAACTAAAGAAAAAAAATCTACGAAATAAAATAATACGTAAATAGCTTACTTGCGTCTCTAAGAATGCTAATGTAGCGTTACAGCGTCTATAAATATTGGATCACAAAGGATACGACACTAATTGCTACACCAGCACAGAAAGTAAAACTACGTATCTGAGAGCACCTGTGATTATATACTCCGTAACCTCTTCCTCCAAGTGCACTCAATAGACTATTACCAATGAATGGACGACGTGACAACTAACCACGACTATGATATCTATGGTTTACGGTTGAAAGAGAAAGAGAGCGGCTGGTGTCGCTGCCGCTCTTCAAATTCACCTCCCCCACTCGATTCTGCGATTATACTGGTACAAACACGTTGCACCTCGTCTGTAAATGCAGTTTAGTTCTGGTATTTCGGTACTGCAAACTATAAGTAAATACATTTGTGGAAGAGCGGAAGTTTCATAGAGACAGAGGGGGCAATTCGCAAATTTGTTTGAGACGTTCAAAAGGATTAGCCACAGAAATTGCTACTGTGCAATGTAGATGTTCTTAATCAAGTTCGAGTAAGACCACTTAGAAACAACAAACTACGGAGAGGATACTCTCATAATGCATTTTAAATATCCGTCATCGCTGTACCTTTGAGATAGTATTATAAAACAAAATTCTACGACTTATCAAGGAGAGCTAATTAATAGTTTTTGCAAATGTAAGTTTTTACACAGGCCTTATATATTGTCATACTATAATGTAAACAATAATATAAACAAGCGCTTTCTCTCTCTCAAACTGCGTCAACGCATCTATGTTAATAATTTGATCTACATCACTATCCCACGCGCACACACTCTCATATATCCCAAACGGAACTCGAAATACTGCTCACTCAAAATCTTAGGTTTTTTAATTTATAAAATGAAATATAAAGTTGTAATGTTAGACTTCGTTTATTCCATGTATTTTGTTATTGACTTTTTTGAAATGTATCAACTTCTTGAATACGTTGATTATTTGACAATCAACTTATAATATCAGAGGAATAACGACGAAAAAGTATTTAATGTTGAAGAATTCAATAACAATTAATTACATAAATGACTCCTGATTTGCTCAAATTTATCATTTATTTTCTTACATTGCCATTCAATAAAATTGGTAGACATTAGTATTTTCATTATATTCTTTGTAAAAGAAATTGTTTGATTAGATAATTGTTATACTTTGTTCCATTAAAATACGATATATAATTTCAATGTTGTAGATAATTAAGATCTTATATCATCCATCATGATAAGAATAAGTTTTTTCTTTCAACTAACGAATAGTAATTCTTCGTTCGTAACAATTAGATATGAGCATTTCTTATGTTTTATTATTTGTTAAAAATAAATTATTAATTTTAACGAACTTAAATTCTACAGATTTCTTGTAAATAATATAAATTAAAGTCGGCGACAGCTTCATCAAATGTTTTCAATACTCAATAAAAACAATGAGTCACCGAATGATTTCAAATTCTCAAATCAAATTTCAATATCTCAAATATCAACTGATCGATCATAAAAACTCTTTTTTATGCTAGGATCTTCTCGTAGGAAAAGACAAAAGATTAATTATTGCAAAAAAGAAGCCATAAGTAATTGCAGCTCTACTAGCACACTCCACCTTTTTCACTCTCCCAGCGCGACACCGTAAATCCCGGACATTTGACTTGGAAATATTTCTAGAATATTCGATGTATCGGAAAAGACGAGTCTCGTGAAAAATGGGCTAGCAGCATACGATATCCTTGTCGTCCACCCGCAGCTTGGAATATTAAACAATTTTCTTGCATCGCCGCTCTCTCGGGATTTCCTTAATTTTCAACATAATTCAACTTAGTCCTTCTTCTTATCGACACGCTTTTTCAAACTTATTAAGGTCTTGTTTTGAGATGATTAGATTATTTTATAATATATGTTTTTTGTACCTTCATCTGAAAATTTTTAAAAATACGCGTTACTAAAGTGTTACAAATTGAAATAAAATGTAAATTTCATAGTACAAGACTACATGACGATTTCATTAAAGTAACAGTTCTATTAAATTTTAATGAAATAAATGTCTTTCAATACGTCGAGTATCACACATTTCATTAGCTCAATTAAACATGGCAAGTTTCTATGCGCGCAGTAAATGGTGATTCGCCACATGCGAAAGCTTTTACACTAATTATCAAAGTTACGTGAAACGGGTTATAGTTGAAATATTCTCAACTCGAAAGTTATCACAGATTTATATCTCATTAAAATTCGTCGTTCATTTTTCTTCCAACTTGTATATTTCATCGTCCATCCGTGTGTATATTCAAAATTTAGTCAACTTATTTTAGCTGGCTTTCTTTGTATCAGACTGGCTCATCAAAGTTTACGCCGAGGAAAAAATTTTTTATAAAAATGCAATAGTAATTAAAATCAATCAGCTGTACATGTGCGCAAACGTGAGTGATAAAGCTACTTTAATTGAATTGGCCTGAATGGCTTCTATCTTTTTTTTTTTAAAGAGGGAGGGAGGGTCCTGCCACGGAGGGCATCTGGAATTCAGTTGAGGATTACTGGGACTATTTCCATTTCAAATTTTTAGCGTATACTCGCGGCTCCTTTTTCCCACCCTCGATATCGTTTTACACTTTCAAATGTAATACGCATTTTTTACTTTTGTATAAAATTTCTTTTGCCTTTTGCTTATTTGACTTATATCAGAGAGAAAGTTATATAAAATACATTTTCAATAGTGAGATCAATAGAACGATAACAATTTTTACACATTGATAATCTAAAGGTCAAAAAAAAATCTTCTTGTAATAACATATTACATGGCAAACCAAAGGAACCTCGTCAATCTTCCGCACAAAACGCCCATTATAAACCATTCCGCTAAAAAAAATCAATCATCTTTGCACGGATCAATGTCGAATTGAAGAGCTCAGTAAAATTGAAACAGTAGCTTTATCGCACATGGAGTAACTGTCGGCAATGCGTGTGTGTGCGAAACTCTGGTAATCCAATGAAAGAAAAGAGAAAGAGAGAGAGCGCAATTTTACAGTGACTACTCGGTAATTCCTCGGCGGAATACGAGCAATTCGATCCGTCCGCTTTATATCGGCCGTAAACCTTAAGCCAAGCGCTCGCGTGTATAAGCTATGTCCTACCCCTACCTCTGATCTCGTTAAAGCCGTTTTTGTTCCTCTTTGACGGTGACAAGCTTTCTCTCTTCATATTTTTCACTTGGGAAACCTAAATGCCACTTTTCTTGTTCGTTTCTGCGGATGATTCGTGTACTTACGATCTTATTCTCCACTTAATTTATTGATCTGATTTGTTGTGCGACGGTGACAATCGTACTGCTTTGTTATCGAAAACTACTTTGTAAGCTTTGAAAAAGGCTTGTCTATTAGAATATTAATATTTGATAGCTTTTAACAGAAGCAGTAGTAGCAAGGTTGTTAAAGTGCTTCAAAAGCTCCTTCGCGCCGACAAAGAGAGACATATATAACTAAGTACAAAAGCTTTGTCGTCTGCAAACTGTTGTAATATTTATAGAGATTTCAGTTTGCCAACTCGATGCTAAATTTTCGACTTGTTTTATTTTTTAATTTTTACTTACATCTCTCGACGACTTTTCAATTGATTTTCAATATTGCGATTCGGCATTGAGGAAATTGTGTGAACATTATGTGCCAAGTGATTTCTTGTTTGTGTTTTTAAATACAATACGACAGGTATCACATAGTGTCGATAGGTAGAGCGCATAACATTTTCACGGCAAATAATCTGTCTACTATCATTTATACGTAAATAATGAATAACTTGACCATAAGTGGTGCACTTTCTTCGTTTTATTAAATTCAATAGATATTCAATATTTAATCTAATATGTAGTTACTAAGCTCCAGACAAAAAAGTCTTCTCATAGAAACCGATTCACCGGCTTAAAAGATCGTTCTATTTTGCTTCTAAAAATGTATAAGGCCATTCACTTCCCAATGCAACAAGCCTCTAAGATCGTTGCAGCAGCAGCGTAAACAAAGCACGTCTACCTGAACAAGTGAAGCTTTGTGTCCAGCTATGGCCACGCGACGTTAACTTCACAATAGTCGACAGAAGACGCGTATCTCTCGCCTTGGGTATTAAACTGTCCGCGTGGGAGAGATTATGAAGTGGCAGCAGCAGCAACGAAGAAGGCGAAACTAACGTCCGAAACATTCGCCCTGAAGAGAATCCAACACACGAAATATCACGCTTAAATACTTGACAACGCGTAGAACCGGGAGGGATCTCACGTACAACATATAAAATCGGAAAGTTATTAGGTCAGTCGGAAAGCTTGAAAATTACCTTCGTTCCAATTTAACGTCACGCCTTGTATTATTGTAACAAATCGAATTATTAATCAGCTCTTTTGAATAACCGAACAATCGATGTATTAAATACCTTACACTGGATCGAAACTGGTTTAAAGAGTCCATTATAAACCACTCGAGATGGACAAAAGTAGCTGTTTTATGCAAAAATGAACGGATGGATGAAACCTATCTGTGTTGATATATTATTCTTGAAAATGAATCAATCTGAAAAAAGTGATGGTTCAATGTCCGAAATGTCATCTTAATAAACATATGATGACTCGTATATCATGGTTTTATTTTATTATTTATTTACTTATTATAAATGAATAATCGTAATTTATTATTCTCTATAATTATTTGACTAGTCTTCATCTTTACTCATTAAAATATTTAATATAACTTTGTTAATATTATTTTACGATGAAGGTTTCTTATTTGTCAATTGTCTTGCTAATCATAATACTTACGTATACATGTGGTTTTTCCTTCACTTTAAGCTTCGTTATTAATAAAAAAACTGATTTTTTTTTGCAACCTAACAAAGTATTAAAAATTTTAACTTTTTAATTATTTACCTATAATAACTGCCATTAAAACAAGAAAAACTTAAACCAGTTCCTATTGATCGGATATTAATTTTTTTAAATTATTTAATTAGATGTTCATGCTATGTATAAGGAAGTCTTAGTTCTATTTTATAACGAAAGAAGCGTTTTTTTTTTAAACGAAAAATAAAGGATTAAAAATTGATTTTTTACTCGCCCATAATAAAATATTAAAATTGATGTTTTAACGAAAAC